TGTACGTGTGTGTGTGTGTGTGTACGTGTGTGTGTGTGTGTGTGTGTGTGTGTGTGTGTGTGTGTGTGTGTGTGTGTGTGCGTGTGTGTGTACGTGTGTGTGTACGTGTGCGTGCGTGTGTGTGTGTGTGGGTGTGTGTGTGTGCGTATGTGTGTGTGTGTGTACGTGTGTGTGTGTGTGTGTGTACGTGTGCGTGCGTGTGTGTGTACGTGTGCGTGCGTGTGTGTGTGTGTGTGTGTGTGTGCGTGTGTGTACGTGTGCGTGTACGTGTGCGTGTGCACGTGTGTGCGTGTGTGTACGTGTGTGTGTGTGTGTGTGTGTGTGTGTGTGTGTGTGTGTGTGTGTGCGTGTATGTGTGTGTGTGTGTACGTGTGTGTGTGTGTGTGTGTGTGTGTGTGTGTGTGTGTGTACGTGTGTGTGTGTGTGTGTGTGTGTGTGTGTGTGTACGTGTGTGTGTGTGTGTGTGTGTGTGTGTGTGTGTGTACGTGTGTGTGTGTCGTGGTGGATGGCTGCTTATACTGAGCCAGGATTCTCTGGAGGTTTCTTCCTGTTAAAAAGGAGTTTTCCTCTCCACTGTCGCTGCATGCTTGCTTAGTATGAGGATTGCTGTAAAGACTCTGACACTAGTCAGTGACTCGATGCGACCTGCTGGGTTCCTTATATAGGAAGCTTGTCCAGACTGGCTTAATGACCTGACCTGTAGTGGAGTGTGTACTGTGTGCAGGTCCTTGAGACGACTCTGGTCCTGACTTGGTGCTTCATAAATAAACTGAACTGGTTTAGTGAAGAATTAGAATTAGAGTCAAACTAGAACTGATCAGGTCTGGAAACAACGGAGTGATGTGGCCTTACAGCAGTCTGGTCTGAAGTCTGATGGACCTAAAGCCTGGTACTTGATGGATGAACTTTTCTCTTAGACACATGGAGATGTGCTGAAAGGACCCCATGGATCCGGGTTGTTCTGTTGTTAAAGTGGGGGTTCAGAGTGAGTAACAGCCAGATCCCTTCCTTCCCACACTGGTCGCCTCATTAGGCACCTTCCTCAGCTGCTAGTTCGGTCCCTGATTAGTACAACAACAGTTTGACCTCTGAGCCTGTCCAGGGCTCTCTGCTAGAGGCCACTGGAGATGATCAGGACAGTGAATGATGACACATTTCATCTATAAAGTCCCCGTATTTCATGGTGTATCAGTAGCTCTTCTGGGATGACGACTGGCGTGCATTTCTCCAGAAGATGATGGGAAAACAAAACCAGCTCCTGTCGACACCACAGCATGTCTGCGCTTCCATTCTGTCCCACCTTGAATCCATCTTTTATCGTCTGGAAGACTGTCTCCCTGTCTGCACCCATCCATCCATCTCCCCCTTCCAGTGACACCCCCGTTCCTCCTCAATGTCCTCTGTTTGTCTTCTGATGTTACAGAGTCACATATGAGCTTCAGTGACGGCACAGCCCTGGACACTGCAGCCTTGTTTAAGAGGGGAGTGATCAGAGGATGGGAAGATCGAGGGGCGAGCGAGGCCAGAGTGCGGGTATTTACCAAAGCTGCGAGAGGATGTAGATGCAGAAACAAAGGAGGACATCTAGGTTCAAAAAGCACGCATGGATGCCTCTGAAAAGGCCAGTGTTGTGTTGCTTGGCATGTCCCTTCCCTGTGACTCGGAGCCAGCAGTGCCTGTCAGGGCGCCACTGTTGAGCTCACTCCTCATATCTGCTCTCTCACCGGCAGATCAAGCAGTTGACTGCTAACATGCAGTACCTTTGGGGGGGGGGCATCTCAGACCCAGAAACACACGCTATGAAAGGATCAGACAAGTCCTGTCTGCTCTGCACACCCGTACACGGGTTCGAATGCACCAAGGTCAAAAAAAAGGTTTATTCCTTTCTGAGATTAAAATCCTAAAAGCCTAGCCTGGCAAGCCAGATTAAATAAATGGATTATTAGTCTGGCCAGACTCCACTGGCAGCTCTCGGTTGTGGGGCGGGTTCTACCGTTGTCCACTGGACAATGAATGTGACATCCTCTTGTTTCACTCTGTTGCATCATCCCACCCACCAGGCATATAGAGTGCCCTGATTGGCCCACAAAGCAGATAAAGCTCTGTGATTTGTTCACTAAGCAGATAGAGCACTATGATTGGCCCACCATTATGGACCAATCACAGCTCTTTATGTGTTTGAAACCCCTCTAGAGAGCTGTGATTGGCTAGCCAGAGTCCTGGTAGGAGCTGCTGAGGTTCCAGTGGAGCGTTGCTAGACCAAACTCTGCAAAGCAAGAATCTGGTCTGGTTCACTAGGCTACAAGCTGGTTGTTGAGCTCAGTTGGAACGAGTCCCTGCCCAGCACTGACTTTTCTTACCCACCTGAGGCCGCTGAGTCAGCAGGAGAGGCTCTCACACCCAGGGCTCAGCGTTCGAGATGGGGTGAGGAGCTCAGACACCCAGGAGGATCTCAGAGACATTAAGGAGCCCACTGAGGTGGTTCAGGCCAGAGAGGACATGCTGGAGGGATCAGATCGGGGTTCTCAGTCGCTGGTCTCCAGCATGTTTGGGTAGTTCTTCTGCTCCGACACACTTGATACAGTGGTTGTTAATCACCTGCTGATTGGAATCAGGTGTGCTGAAGCAAGGAAACAACTAAAACATGCTGGATAGCAGCCTGGTCCTGGAGGAAGATGGAAAGCGTTCTACAAATAAACGTTTGATTTGGTCTGAAAGGGAGTCAAGCTCTTCACGGTATGAGCCTGCTCCGTCTCCTTGGACAGCAGAAGATCAGGAGGTGGAGCGGGTTGTCCAGTAATCGGAAGGTTGCAGGTTTGATCCTAGCTCCAACCAGAGACTGCTGCTGTTGTGTCCTTGAGCAAGACACTTAACCCGCCTTGCCAGCTGGTGGTGTCAGAGGGACGGCGGCGCCTCACCTCTACATCGTAGCTCATCCTCACCAGCGCGTGAATGGGTGAATGAGTGTGTCTAAAGAGCCTTGGGGGGTTCCAGGACACTAGAGGGTGCTATATCAAATGCAGCCCATTTACCACCTTGTCAGTGTGCCCAGGGCAGCTGTGGCTACATCGTAGCTCACCATCACCACTGTGTGAATGGGTGAATGAGTGTGTTGTGAAGCGCCTTGAGGGGTTGTAGAACCCTTAGAAGGTGCTGTACAAATACAGGCCAGTTAACGTTTAACCCACTCTATCCAGACCCTGCAGAAGCTCCTCAGCATTCCCAGATCCAGACGGAGGAGCGGAGGTTGCAGGTTAGGATTTTTACTGTATTTACGGTTCTATGAAAGTGTGAATGATGAGGTGGATGGCGATGAGCCCTGTTGAAAGACAATCCCGGTGGGGTCAAACCAAACACCTTAACAATGGGACCCAACTCCCTCCCTACACTCAGCTTAAAGGGTTGGACTGGGGGGTTAAACCCCCAAACAGGCCTGCATGTGACCAGATGCAGAGAGGTCATTTCACCAGGGCGGGATGACTAACGGGGCTTTAATGAGTGTACAGCAGATGACCTTTCAGAGGAAATAAAGCCTAAACCTTTCTTCCACTGGACAGTTCCACCTGAACCACCCAGACAGAGGCTGGGCCAGACACCAAGGCTGAGGAGCTGGGAGGTTCATGACCTCTGACCTACTCTGCCCTCTGTTTAGAAATGTTTGCTTATTGAGACGTGTTCTTTGAGGTCCACGGCTCGCTGTTGAACATCCACACATGAAGAAGGTTGTGAAAAGCAGGACAGGAAGGGCAGAGGACATCTAAAAGGGACAAGGACGGGAGGGGCTGGACACAACGCATCATCCTGGTTTTCTGTTTGACTTTCGTTTCACCAAACAAACAAAATGATCCGAGTTCCGTGAACGCAGCATTTTCTCCACGAGGAGCAGAACCGTTCAGCAGAAGGTGTTCCCATGTGTCTCACATCTCCGGTGTGAAGAACCCGTTCCTCCATCAGTCAAGCAGCTCCACCTGTTTGGAGCTCCGGCTGGACTCCAGGGCGTCCCACAGCGCCCCCAACAGGAGGAGCTGGCAGTGTCCTTCTTTGGTTGTAGGAAATTTGTTTTTGACAGGAAAGTCGGGACATGTGATGTTTGTGTTGATTGTTTTCGCGGTGAGCGTGACTGGGCCGAGTGTGCTGGAGCAAAGCTGTGAATGAAAACTCTTTCAGTTCTGATGAAGTGATGAGAAGCAGACTGAAAGTGCGCCACAGCGACCGTCTCAGACCCATCCGTGTAGGTCCACCTGAGCCTCAGGTCCCCCATCAGCACCAACACGCCACTTCCGTTACAGCCACAGGCAAAAGGCACCCCGAGACGCTGGCTGTTTAGTTTCATTAATAACAACAACAACAATAACGGTGTGATTTAGAGCTCTGGGAGCGGCGGGCTCATCCAAATGACCGCTGAATGACGCACCCGTGCGCGGATTTCTCCACAACAACCTGGCCAGCTTTAAACGTCGCTTTGTTGTGGTCTCCGTTTCTCACCCATGATAGGAGTGGACCCCGATGCTCCTGAAACAAACTAAACCCTCCAACCCCCCCCTCTCTCACGGTCAGATGAAAAACGGAACGCAGTTGGAAGATTCACTTGTTAGTGTGTGAAGCAGTTTCAAAGCTGCGGCTCTTCTGGAACAAATCCCTGGGTGCAGCTTTCCAGAATTACGCATCCTCTGGATGACCACATTTAACCTCCGCTGGAGAACAAAGAACGGTTCCTTTTGCGGTTCTGAAGCGGGTTCGGCGTCCCCGGGGAAACGCCACTTACTGCGTCCCCGCGGACCGCCGGAGCCAACCCGGCTGGCTGGGTGAGGTCTGAAACGGCTGCTCAGCACAGTCCAGACCAGATGTTTCAAATAACAAATTTCAGCTCTTAATTAGACATCTGCGCCTTTTGGCGGTTTGCGCCACGAAACCAAACCGGGTATTTCTCACAAAGACGCGCAGGTTTGCGGATCAAGCAGTCAGTGTGAAGGTGATTATTACAAAAAGGGAGAATTTACCTTTGCGTAGGTTAGAAGTCTGTCCTCATTCCAGTCCGTTCTCGGCGCGTGCGTCCATTCCCAACGGCTGAAGTGCTCCGGTAAGTCCCCACAGCGCTTTGATGTGAACGGAACTCTTCTTCCGCTGAGACGAATGGAAGTCACGCCTGTGGGATGGACAGCGATGGAACACCAGCAGGAGTTCGGCACAGCCGTTTGGTGCGTCCAGTGCGTAAAACCGACCCAGACGCGGGTTGAGTCTCCCTCCGATCCTTCTCACGTGGTTCTCTCAAACCGATAAAAGCCCCTCTTTCCTCTCACCTCTTCTCCTCGTGGGGGTTTGTTTTTAATTTGATTATTAGAAATGTAAATTGGCCTTTTAAAAAGTTGTCCAAACGTAAGACTCTGTCCGCACGCGCAGCTTCCAGGTGAGTGGGGCTCGCACCTGTTAGGGAACCGCGTCTCCAGCTCGCGGCTCCGGACCGTCCTTGTCCGTCCGTGTGTCCGCGTACAGCGACTGCCACATTCCTAATTCGGAAACCGGTGGCTCGTGCTGCTATCAAGAGCACCAGAGTCACGGTGAAATCCAGGAAAATCCTTCAAAATAAATTGAGAGCGCGCGCTCCTGCGGATCCTGTCACTAAAACTCCGAAATGACTGGCTACTGCCAGCTGAATCAGTAATGTAGATGTACAGGAGGAGGTGGTCTGGCTTGTGAAATATTTGGATGAATCCGCTTTGAGGTGGTGGCGGAGCAGAGCCAGCAGCTGCTCAGGACGGCTTGATTAGTTTGTTTCTGTTGTTGAAGACAGACTGGAGCAAAACCAAATCACCCTTGGGAGTGCTTTTATTTTGAAAGGTAAACACTCATTTTCCTGCTAAATTCCACTTTCACTGTTCAGAGCAGAAGGAGTTCCTCTGAGAAACGCACCCTTCAGCCCCCTCTTCTGGAGTCACGGGAACGTGTTGGGCTGAGGGAACACCTGCTTGGCTCACACAGGTGAGTCACTAGTCCATGTCAGTAATCCAGCTCAGACTAAACCAGAGGCTCAGGAACCCTCTGCAGGTGTTCAGGGTTCATCAGCTGATTAGAGTGACACCGAGTCTAGAATATTGATCCTTTTCACAATATTCTGATTGTCTGAGATGTGGAATGTTGTGTTCTCATCAGGTGTTCGCCATAATCATCAGTTAGAAGATGTGTGTGTGTGTGTGTGTGTGTGTGTGTGTGTGTGTGTGTGTGTGTGTGTGTGTGTGTGTGTGTGTGTGTCATGGTGGATGGCTGCTTATACTGAGCCAGGATTCTCTGGAGGTTTCTTCCTGTTAAAAGGGAGTTTTCCTCTCCACTGTCGCTGCATGCTTGTTTAGTATGAGGTTTGCTGTAAAGACTCTGACACTAGTCAGTGACTCGATGCGACCTGGCGGGTTCCTTATATAGGAAACTTTTAACTGATGGGCTTAATGACCTGACCTGTGTTGGGATGTTTATTATGTGAAGGTCCTTGAGACGACTCTTGCCATGATTTGGCGCTTTATAAATAAACTTGAATTGAATTGAAGTAGCCTGTCTCATAGGTTAGCTTCACCTTTTTGGTTGGATTAATGACATTATTGAGCTTTTGCTCCAGATTCTAGTTTTTCCTGTTTCACCTCTAATACAAAAGGTTTATCTTTTCTGGGCGTTTTGTTGTCCTCTACGGTTGTATTTTTTGTACCAAATGGCTCTTTCGTCTAGCCTGGCCTGCCAGACCCACAGAGGACGGGTCACATGAGGGGCGGGACTAGCCGGCTCAAAACTAACCAGTTAGAAAACAGGCGGAAATGCTGACTGTTCCACGCAACTCTGTAGTTTTATAGCTGTAGTCAAACAGGGTGCCAGTGCAAACATCTTTCTTTAGAAGAAAGGCTTTTAGCTTCTTGTCGTTGTGGTTTTAAAGACACGTTCAAGTCATTTACAACAGAGGGAAGAGCTGCAGCGAACTTTGCTTCAGACGCCATGTTTATGAGAACCTGAGCGTTGCTGTGTGTGTGTGCTCAGCGCTGATTGGCTCGGCTGGAATTCTCCGGGGTTGGGGTTATTTGCATAGAAGTGTTCCCAGACCCAATGCCTCCCATAAGGAGGCATGGGGCTGGCTGACCAGGTTATCTTTCTTCACACAGCTGTAGCGTACCAAAAGTCCAAGTATTCCATCAAAAGGAGCAGAAATTAACTTTTCACTTACAGCCCAGACATCTTCACACAGGTCAACCTGACACCGTGGTGCCGATATGATGTCTATAGACTTGAGCCAAGATTCTTAACTTATCCTGCAGAACGTCACGAGTCCTCAAGCCTGCAGAAGACGCACGACAATGTTCTTTTAGAAAGACTTGAACATGTTGTAGGGATCAAAGGAACAGCGTTAGGCTGGTTTAAATCCTACCTGTCTGACAGATTTCATTTTGTAAATGTACATGACAAATCTTCTTCATACTCCAGGGTTTCTTGTGGAGTACCACAGGGTTCAGTGCTTGGACCAATTCTTTTTACTATATATATGCTCCCAATTGGTAAAATCATTAGACAGCATGGGATAAACTTCCACTGTTATGCTGACGATACTCAGCTATATTTATCCATTAACCCTGATGAACCTAATCGGTTGGGTACATTACAGGCTTGTCTTGAGGACATAAAACATTGGATGACTCTAAACTTTTTGCTTTTAAATCAAGACAAGACGGAAGTTCTCATCTTTGGACCAGAAATCCAGAAAAGGAAATTGCTTAACCAATCACCTGACCTGAATGGCATTACATTAATCTCTGAGAACAAAGCAAGGAACCTTGGTGTTATCTTTGACCAGGACATGTCATTCAAATCCCAGGTTAAACAGGTTTGTCGGATTTCCTTTTTCCACCTTCGGAATATTGCTAATATTAGAAGCATCCTTTCCAGGAGTGATGCTGAAAAACTAGTTCATGCATTTATTACATCAAGACTAGATTACTGTAATTCATTACTCTCAGGAAGTCCACAGAATGTAGTTAAAAGTCTTCAGCTTGTCCAAAATGCTGCAGCTAGAGTTCTGATGAGAATTAAAAAGAGAGATCATATCTCTCCTGTCTTAGCTTCCCTACATTGGCTACCTGTTAAATTCAGAATAGATTTTAAGATCCTCCTTCTGGAAGTACTGGAAGTGTTGCAAAAAGACCTAAATAAACAAAACCCTAAAATATACGTAAGAGAAATTTAAAGCTTTAGAGCCAACAATGTAATCAAAAACGCACAGACCTGACTTGCCTTCCCCTTCAGCCTATTATCTAGTTTATTTCCTGGTTCTCAGTTGCCTGTTCTCACCCCATTTACTCTTCTGTTTTTAGACCCGGAGTTACACCCTGTCCCGTTTGGAACAGCGCCCATAGTTTCCCTTTTAGTTTCTTTTATAATAAACATTTTTGTACTTTCTTACCTGTGTTTCCGTGAGTGATTCTTCGTGTGGGTCAGGAAGCTTCCACCCATGACAATGGAAGAGCTAAATTTTCACTAAGCCATAACTGGCAAAAATTAAAATTGAATTCAAAGGAAATCATAAAAGTTTCTGTAATAAAGAGAATGGTGATCAAAATAATGTAAATATGTACTGTATATATTTGAATGTAAAAGAAGTAATAAAATAGATGGTGGTAGAAACACAAGAAGTTAATCAGTGTTGGCAATCAAACCTGTATGTGAGTGTACCACAACAGGAGTTAGTGATTAATAATGTAAAAAGTATAAAACGAACCTCAGTTAAAATACTGAAAAATTTCCTAAATGTTTAGAAAATGGAAAACAAAATGGAATTTGGATCAACCTAACGGTTAGTGGATCTGCTCACTTTTAACTGGCACGAACTTAGTCACAGATCTATAGAAACACAGCATGACATCAAAGTCTTCCAAGTCTGTACGTTATGTTTAGACATGAAATACACACACACACACACACACACACACACACACACACACACACACACACACACACACACACACACACACACACACACACACACACACACACACACACACACACACACACACACTCTCTCTCTCTCTCAAATTCAATTCAAAAATACTTTATTAATCCCAGAGGGATTCAGTACACACAATGCTGAGATCAGACATACAGACATAGACACATGACAAGAATTGGTGACTGTGGTCATTCGCAACCCGAGTCGTGCTACCGTTATAGATCAAGAGGGTTTATATGAGGATAGAGTCGGGGGGGAGGGACAAGAAAGGCACTTCAGAGTTACCCCTGACAGAGAGGATAGCTATGCTATGCAAAAAAAAAAAAAAACACCTCACACAGATTTCCACACAGACTTCAGACATTACACAACATAAGTGTCCACTAGGTGGGGATGGAAGGTTCTGGGACTCTCCGCACTTCAGTGCGTGCAGCCGCATGGGGCAGCGCTCATCACCTCCGTTTGGACAGGGGAGGGAGATAATGGGTTAGAGAGCACAGTGACTCCTAGATACGGTTCCACGGCCTTCACCGATCACAGTCCGGCCCAGGCTGGGATAGGGAGAAAGGGTTTCCATAGCGACGGCAGCATTCCACATTTCTTCTGCGGGGGGAGTTTTCACTTCAGCCTCACAGGCTCAACGGCACCAGATTCAGATAACAAGAACTGTTTGGGGTACAGACAGAGATAATTTCCTCTCTGCCTTAGACTTCTGTCGGTCTTCAATCCCTCCAGGTCCAGTAATGGCGTTATCAAACTATTCCGATCCGTGCTGATCCGTCCACTCTCTCCTTGATCGAATTCACCTTCTGTGTCTGAGCCTGAATCTCAGCCAAAGTTCCAAACTTACGACTCATCTCGACAATTATCCGAGTCTGTGAGTTTACAGCACGATGCAATCCATCCCTGAGCTCCGGGATTGAGCCGATATTCCTCGAAAGCTCGTTAACTTTCCGGTAAGCCAGGTAACCGCTCAGGCCAAACAGCAGAGATCCCGACACCAACACGACGAATATCCAGACGTCTTCAGAATCCTCTACAGACAGTTGAGAGAGGCAGATCAGGTTCCACTGTTTCCAGGACTCCATGATATACCCAGCTGGCTCTGTCCCAGAGGGGCATCCGGGAGCCCCTTCTCCCGTTCTCATCGTTGAAAAAATGTATTCAATTGCGTTGAGAGACCAGCTGACCAGATCCATGTTTAATAATTTCCAGTTTCCAGACAAAATGCAGGAAGTGCAGAGCACAGACAGACAGGACAACGAGCCTTGGGAGGAGGAGGGAGGGAGAGGAGAAAAAGCATCTGTACTCTCACTCTCACTCACTCACTCACTCACTCACTCACTCACACACTCACTCACTCACTCACTCACACTCACTCACTCACTCACTCACTCACTCACTCACTCACTCACTCACTCACTCACACACTCACTCACTCACTCACTCACACACTCACTCACTCACTCACTCACTCACTCACTCACTCACACACTCACTCACTCACTCACTCACTCACTCACTCACTCACACACTCACTCACTCACTCACACACTCACTCACTCACTCACTCACTCACTCACTCACTCACTCACTCACTCACTCACTCACTCACTCACACACTCACTCACTCACACACTCACTCACTCACTCACTCACACACTCACTCACTCACTCACTCACACACTCACTCACTCACACACTCACTCTGTCACTCTCTCACTCACTCACACTCTCACTCACTCACTCACTCACTCACTCACACTCACTCACTCACTC